CAATTTTTGTGTAAAACTGGTGGATGCGCCAGAATAAAAATTAATTTCTCCATTATTCGAACACCTACAGGAAGAATAAGGATAGATTTGAAATCCTGAGAAAATTTCGGTTTAGACACATGTGTTTTCGGAAGGATTTCGGCAAGTTTAAACTTTTATGTAAAAATGGTGGAGGCGCCGATTAAAAATTTATTTCTCCGTCATTTGACGAATTACGATAAGAACAAGCATTAATTCGTGATACTGAGAAAATTTTGGCTTAGAGACATGTGTTTTCGGAACGATTCGTCAAATTTTCAATTTTTGTGTAAAAATGGTGGATGCGCCAGAATAAAAATTAATTTCTCCATTATTCGAGCACCCAGAGGAAGAATAAGGATAGATTCGAAATCCTGAGAAAATTTCGGTTTAGACAGATGTGTTTTCGGAAGAATTTCGGCAAGTTTAAAATTTTATGTAAAAATGGTGGAGGCGCCTGATTAAAAATTTATTTCTCCGTTATTTGACGATTTACGATAAGAACAAGCATTAGTTCGTGATACTGAGAAAATTTTGGCTTAGAAAGATGTGTTCTCGGAATGATTCGTCCAATTTTCAATTTTTGTGTAAAAATGGTGGAGGCGCCGATTAAAAATTTATTTCTCCGTCATTTGACGAATTACGATAAGAACAAGCATTAATTCGTGATACTGAGAAAATTTTGGCTTAGAAACATGTGTTTTCGGAACGATTCGTCCAATTTTCAATTTTTGTGTAAAAATGGTGGATGCGCCAGAATAAAAATTAATTTCTCCATTATTCGAACACCTACAGGAAGAATAAAGATAGATTTGAAATCCTGAGAAAATTTCGGTTTAGACAGATGTGTTTTCGGAAAGATTTCGGCAAGTTTAAAATTTTATGTGAAAATGGTGGAGGCGCCAGATTAAAAATTTATTTCTCCCTTATTTGAACACCCACAAGAAAAATAAGGATAGACTTGAAATCCTGAGGAAATTTCGGTTTAGACGGAAGTATTTTCGGAAGGATTTCGGCTGGCCTAAAGTTTTATGTAAAAATGGTAAGGAGACAGAATAAAAAAATCATTTCTCCCTAATTTGGCTATTTACAATTAAAATAACCATTAATTCGTCGTACTGAGAAAATTTCGGCTTTGAAAGATGTTTTTTCGGGACAATTTGGGCAATTTTCAGTTTGGTCTAAAAATGGTGGAGGCGCCAGGACAAAAATTCTGTTCTCCCTTATTTGAAAACTTACAGAAAAATAAGGATAGATTTGTGATCCTGAGAAAATTTCGTTTCAGACCTATCCATTTTCGGAAATATTTCGTTATGTTTAAAATTTTATGTAAAAATGGTGGAGGCGCCAGAATAAAAATTCATTTTTTCTTTATATGAACACCTACAGGAAAAATAGCATAGTTGGAAATCCTGAGAAAATTTCGGTTTAGAGAGATGTATTTTCGGAAGGATTTCGGCAAGCTTAAAGTTTTATGTAAAATGGTTAAGGAGACAGAATAAAAAAAATCATTTCTCCCCAATTTGGCTATCTACAATAAAAATAACCATTAATTCGTCAAACTGAGAAAATTTCGCCTTAGAAAGATGTTTTTTCGGGACAATTTGGGCAATTTTCAGTTTTGTCTAAAAATGGTGGAGGCGCCAGGACAAAAATTCTGTTCCCTTATTTGAACACCTACAGAAGAAATAAGGATAGATTTGTGATCCCGAGAAAATTTCGTTTTAGAGAAATCCATTTTCGGAAAGATTTCGTAATGTTTAAAATTTTATGTAAAAATGGTGGAAGCGCCAGAAAAAAAATCTTTTCTCGCTTATTCGAACGACTACAGTAAAAATAAGAATAGATTTGAAATCCTGAGAGAATTGTCGTTTAGACAGATATACCTTCTGGATGATTTTGGCAAGTTTAAAATTTTATGTAAAAATGGTAGAGGCGCCAGAATAGAAAAATCATTTCTCTCTAATTTGGCTGTCTACAATAAAAATAACTATTAATGCGTCATACTGAGAAAATTTCGGCTTTGAGAGATGTTTTTTCGGAACAATTTGGGCAATTTTCAGTTTTGTCTAAAAATGGTGGAGGCGCCAGGACAAAAATTCTGTTCTCTCTTATTTGAACACCTTCAGAAAAAATAAGGATAGATTTGTGATCCTGAGAAAATTTCGTTTCAGACAGATCCACTTTCCGAAAGATTTCGTTATGTTTAAAATTTTATGTAAAAATAGTGGAGGCGCCGGAATAAAAATTCATGTCTCCCTTATTCGAACGACTACAGTAAAAATAAGGATAGATTTGAAATCCTGAGAGAATTTTGCTTTAGACAGATGAATTTTCTAGACGTTTTTGGCAAGTTTAAAATTTTATGTAAAATTGGTGGAGGCGCCAGAATAAAAATGCATTTCTTCCTTATACGAACGCCTACAGGAAAAATAAGCATAGATTTGAAATGCTGATAAAATTTCGGTTTAAAGAGATGTATTTTCGGAAGGATTTCGGCAAGCTTAAAGTTTTATGTAAAATGGTTAAGGAGACAGAATAAAAAAATCATTTCTCCCTAATTTGGCTGTCTACAATAAAAATAACTATTAATTCGTCATACTGAGAAAATTTCGGGTTAGAAAGATGTTTTTTCGGGACAGTTTGGGCAATTTTCAGTTTTGTCTAAAAACAGTGGAGGCGCCAGGACAAAAATTCTGTTCTCCCTTATTTGAACACCTACAGAAGAAATAAGGATAGATTTGTGATCCTGAGAAAATTTCGTTTCAGACAAATCCATTTTCGGAAAGATTTCGTATGGTTTAAAATTTTATGTAAAAATGGTGGAGGCGCCAGAAAAAAAAATCTTTTCTCCCTTATTCGAACGACTACAGCAAAAATAAGAATAGATTTGGAATCCTGAGAGAATTGTCGTTTAGATAGATATACTTTCCGGATGATTTTGGCAAGTTTAAAATTTTATGTAAAAATGGTGGAGGCGCCAGAATAAAAAAATCAGTTCTCTCTAATTTGGCCATCTATAATAAAAATAACCATTAATTCATCAAACTGAGAAAATTGCGGCTTAGAAAGATGTTTTTTCGAGACGATTTGGGCAAGTTTCAATTTTGTTTAAAAATGGTGGAGGTGCCAGGACAAAAATTCTGTTCTCCCCTATTTGAACACCTACAGAAGAAATAAGGGTAGATTTGTGATCCCGAGAAAATTTCGTTTCAGACAAATCCATTTTCGGAAAGATTTCGTAATGTTTAAGATTTTATGTAAAAATGGTGGAGGCGCCAGAAAAAAAATCTTTTCTCCCTTATTCGAACGACTACAGTAAAAATAAGAATAGATTTGAAATCCTGAGAGAATTGTCGTTTAGACAGATATACTTTCTGGGTGATTTTGGCAAGTTTAAAATTTTATGTAAAAATGGTGGAGGCGCCAGAATAAAAAAATCATTTCTCTCTAATTTGGCTGTCCACAATAAAAATAACTATTAAGTCGTCATATTGAGAAAATTTCGGCTTAGAAAGATGTTTTTTCGGGACAATTTGGACAATTTTCAGTTTTGTCTAAAAATGGTGGAGGCGCCAGGACAAAAATTCTGTTCTCCCTTACTTGAACACCTATAGAAAAAATAAAGATAGATTTGTGATCCTGAGAAAATTTCATTTCAGACAGATCAATTTTTGGAAAGATTTCGTAATGTTTAAAATTTTATGTAAAAATGGTGGAAGCGCCAGAATAAAAATTCATTCCTTCCTTATTCGAACGACTACAGTAAAAATTAGGGTAGATTTGAATTCCTGAGAGAATTTTGCTTTAGACAGATGTCCTTACTGGACGATTTTGGTAAGTTTAAAATTTTATGTAGAAATGGTGGAGGCGCCAGAATAAAAATTCATTTTTGCATTATACGAACACCTCCAGAAAAAGTAAGCATAGATTTGAAATGCTGCGAAAATTTCGGTTTAGAGAGATGTATTTTCGGAAGGATTTCGACAAGCTTAAAGTTTAATGTAAAATGGTTAAGGAGGCAGAATAAAAAATCATTTCTCCCTAATTTGGCTGTCTACAATAAAAATAACCATTAATTCGTCAAACTGGGAAAATTTCGGCTTAGAAAGATGTTTTTTCGGGACAACTTGGGCAATTTTCTTTTTTTGTCTAAAAATGGTGGAGGCGCCAGAACAAAAATTAATTTCTCCATTATTTTTGAACACAATACAGAAAAAATAAGAATAGATTGGTAATGGTTGTGTTTAAAATTTGATGTGAAAATCGTGGAGGCGCCAAAAGGTAAGTTCATTTTTCCCTCATTGGAAGACCTATAACTAAAATTAAATAAATTCATCAGCCTCAGAAAATTTTGATTATGACAAATACCTCTTATTATAAAGTACATCGATAATAATCGTGACAATATTTTTTATGGTCTGACGTTGTAGACGTTTCTTTTTTAAAATTTTCCAATAAATTAGGCATAAGTTATTAGAAAATTAAATTTTAGTTTTTCAAAATACAGACATTAAGCAGAATACATTTTTTTTAAATTAGACTAATCACTGTTTGACTTAAATAATGCAAAACAATAAAAACGGGAGTTTCACATAGTTTAAAAAAAATGAAATTCCCATTAGGCATTCATCATCCTAGGTCCTCGGGAGCTTCCGAACCTATCCGTCACTCTGCACCCATGACCCGATCACGGTGCAAAGATGGTAGTACACAGAGGCGGAGGTGGGTTTCGTATCTTGATCAAAAGCCCTATTTCTATCCAGAAGAGAGAACAGTTTCAATAGCCCCCGCCAGGTGAATGATAAATGCACGACAGAGACATATGACTTGTGTGGGAGAAGCAGGAGTGTGAGTGTTAATACGACGGTCATACGTACGTACATTCAGCTAAATGTAATGTTCAGGGAGGGGCATTTCCTAACCGAGCTACTAGAGAACGTTCGGCCGTTGGTCGGTTGGTGTGAAGAGGTGAGTCTTACCATGCCGGAGCCGAGCTGCTGCAGCAGCCCTGAGCCCTGAGAGCCGCCCAACACCGCCGACGGTCGACGGGAACGGATGCTCTGCATGCTACTGCTGAGCAGGAACGGGACGCTGCTGCTAGTGTTGGGCATCGAGCCGCCCTGCGAACACGGCACGGAAGGTGCTCAGAGGGGTGATCACACCGCGGGGCTATACCGAAAGGGGCACGGACATGGGAATGCGGCTGGTGCTGTGATTGTTTGGGAAAAATTTTTGAAAAATTACTTGGGTTTAGAATTTTGATTTGAATAGAAAATTTACATACTCAAAAATGTAGACAACAATAATTGAAGTAGGAAATAAAAAATAAAAAGGCAGCCGAAAAATCACAAAATTGTGTTTTCCCTAACTTGACATGACCCCTAGGGTACGAAGAAATAGATCTCCTGTTTCCATCTGTCTGTCTGTCTGTCTGTCTGTCTGTCTGTCTGTCCGTCCGAATTTCTATTAGACAAATTGTACAACAACATTTTGCAATTTAACTTTGAAACTGCAAAACGGAATGCTCTGAAATCCTGCAAACGTTTTAAGGTTATCGTAAGCATGGAAAATTGTAAATCAAAATTTTTTTCGTTAATCCCCTCCCAAAAAATTGATGACGTCATCACAAAATTTTGTCGAATAAATCCTCTCTGAAATGTGCAAAATACTATGACTCTATAATTGTGGTTTATCAATGCACTTATAGTTTTTAAAATTACTCATAAAGGGTGACTCAAAATACTTAAGGAGGAAATATATTGTCAAGGACACTCCACTCCATTTTCCAGAAAATTTGGGAATACAGTACTGTTATTACTAGTATGACACCGAATCTATCAAATAATTAATATGTGTCCTTGCAAAAAATGTTGATACGTCATCACAAAATTTTGTAATGGAAAAATTCACTTGAAACAAACGTGTAGCACTTCTTTAAATTTACTTTGACATTACATACATTTCTTTATTTTAACTTATAAGGGTTATTATAAAAAAATTAACTTCGTTAAATCAAATCTTCTAATTTTCCGAAAAATATGGATTTCTTTACCTCTGACCAATTTTTGACATCACAATTTATCGTTTGTTCATTTTCTTTGATTCTAAAATTTTTCCGTTCTTCATTGTTTCAGTTTCATAATTTTTCGTTCTTGCAACTTCAAATATTTCAATTTTTCAATTTCTTTCCTTCCAAATTTTTCAACTTTTCGTTTCTTCAATTTTTCGATTTGTAAGTTTTCAATTTTGCAATTTTCCGATATTACAGTTTTTCAATTTTTAGATTTTTCGAATTTTCAATTTCTCAATTTTTCGACCTCTCGCTTTGCAACCTTTAGATTTTCTGAGTTTTCGATATTTTGATTTTCTCATTTCTCAACTTGTCTTTTTTTAGATTTTCAGATTTTCAATTCTTTAATTTTTCGATTTTTTAGGTTTGTAATTTTTCAATTTTTCGGCTTTTCGATTTCTGGAATTTTCAGTTTTTGGATTCTTCAATTTATCTTCGATTTTTCTGTTTTTTGATTTATCGGTTCATCAATTCTTAGACATTTGAGTTTTTCAGTTTTTCGATAAATTTTTTTGATATTTTAATTTTTCGGTTTCTCAATTTCTCGTTTTTTTGATATTCCAGTTTTTCGATATTTCAATTATTTGATATCTCGGTTTTTCGATGTTTCAGTTTGGGGATTTTTCACTTTTTCGAATTTTCAATTGTTCTTTGATTATTCAGTTTTTCGATTCTTTAATTATTTGATTTCTTTAAATTTAGATTTTTCGGTTGTTCATTTATAGTATTTTTGATTGTTCAGTTTTCCGATATTTTAATTTTTCGTTTTACAAATTTTGCATTTTTGATTTTTCAGTTTTACCATTTTTCGACTTTTAGATTTTCGACTCTTTCGATTTCTTGAATTTAGATTTCTCGATTTTTCGACTTTTCGACTTCTCTACTTTCCGATTGCTAGATCTTTTGATGTTTCGATTTCTCGACGTTTCGATTTTCCTTTTGGTCGATGTTTCGATTTTTCGAATTCTCTGTTTTTTGATTTTTCATTTCTTGGATTTTAAATTTTTGTTTTTTTTTAATGTTCCATTTTTCGATGTTTCGGTGTAATAATTTTTCGTTTGCGCAACTTTAATTTTTTTCAATTTTTCAATTTCTCAATTTCCAGATTATTTAATTTTTCGATTCGATCTGCAATTTTTCGATATCGCAGTTTTTCATTTTTCGATTTTTCAGTTTCTTAATTTTTGATTATTCAATTTTCCAATTGTTCGTTTCTTCAATTTTTCGAGATCTCCAATTTTTAGAGTTTTCAAAGTTTTCCTTTTATAGTTTTTCGATTTCTTATTTTTGATCTTTCAATTTTACGTAGGTACATCTTTTATTATAAAGGATATTAAAAAAAAAATATATACGCAAAATCATCTTATAATTTTTCGAAAAATTTGTATTTATTACATTCGACTAATTTTTTTTTTTTTGATATTACAGTTTTTTGTTTTTCGTTTTTTTTTTCAATTTTACAAGTTCTTGATGTCACATTTTCTTTAATTTTTCAAGTTTTCCTTTTTTCGGGGTTTCGATTTCGTAATTTTTCGTTTTTACAATTTTAATTTTTTCATTTTTTCAGTTTCATAACTTGCAAATATTTCACTTTTTCGTTTATTCAAGTTTTTATTTTTCGATTTTTTAGTTTCTCAATTTTTAATTTTTGCATTTTGTAATTTTTTGTTTCTTCAAATCGTCAAGTTTTTGATTTTTATTTTTCATTATCCCGATTTTTTAATTTTAATTTTTTCGATTGGATCTAAATTTTTCGTTTTTTCATTTCCTTTAATTTTTCAAATATTCCAGTTTGAATGTTTCGATTTCATAGTTTTTCGTTTTTAATTAATTAATGTTTCAATGTCTCGACTTCCACAGTTTTCAAACTTTCGTTTCTTCAATTTTTCCTTTTGCAGTTTTTCAATATTACAGTTTTTCATTTTTCGATTTTCCAGTTTCTCATTTTTAGTTTTTCTGTTTTAAAAATTTTCATTTTCTCGATTTTAATTCACAATTTTGGGTTTTTCCATTTCCTTTATTTTTTCAATGTTTCGATTTTATAATTTTACGTTTATTCGATTCTTCAAATTTTCATTCTTTGAATTTTCAATTCCACGAGTTACAATTTATATTTCATTTGATAAAATCTTACAATATTTCGTTTTTTTGATTTATCAGTTTCTTAGTTTTTATTTTTTAGATTTTGCGATTTCCGGTTTCCCAAATTTTTCAAGTTCTTGATTTTTATTTTTTATTATTTTTTTATTATTCACAATTTTTTAATTTTTATTTCCTCGATATTACATCTCAATTTATCGTTTATTCATTTTCTTTAGTTTTTCAATTTTTCCATTTTTCATAATTTTTTGTTTTTGCAACTCTAATTTTTTCAATTTTTCGTTTCCTCAATTTTTAAAGTTCTTGATTTTTATTTTCCATTTTCCGGATATTTTTTAATTTTCATTTCCTCGATTTTATATCTCAGTTTTTCGTTTTTCATTTGCTTTAGTTTTTCAATTTTTCCATTTTTCAATGTTTTGGTTAATTTTTCAATTTCTCGAATGCCAAAGTTTTCAAATTTCCGTTTTTTCTATTTCTCCTTTTACAGTTTTTTAATTTTACAATTTCTCGATATTACAGTTCTTCATTTTTCGATTTTTCAATTTCTCATTTGTAGTTTTTCGTTTTTTAAATTTTCATTTTCTCGATTTTAAATTACAATTTTTCATCTTTTCATTTTCTTTATTTTATTTTTGGTTTATTCAGTCCTTCAAATTTTCAGTCTTTGATTTTTCAAGTCCTCGGTTTCTAATTTATAAATGTTTCTATTTCGCAGCTTTTGGATTTCTCAATTATCCGATGTTGCGATTTTTTAAATTTTGAATATTTCCATTTTACGATATTTCGTTTTTTCGATTTTGCAATTTGTCGATCTTTAATCTTTCGATTATCAATTTTTTGTTTCTTCATTTTTTTAAAGTTCATTTCAATTTTTTTTAAGTTTTCATTTATACTATTTCGTGTTTCCATTTTTGATTTTCAAATTTTATAAGTTTGCATTTTTTTCATTTTTTTCATTTGAAATATTGAAAAATCAAAAATTAAAAAATCAAACTGAAAAAACAAAATTTTGCAAAATCGAGAAAGTGGAAAATCAAGAAATTGCAAATCGATAAATTGAAGCAACGAAAAATTGGAACATTAAAGGACTAAACATCAAAAAACTTCAAAATGGGAAAAAAATTAATGAATCAAAAAATTGGAAAAATAAAAGATTGTAAAATCGAAAGAACTGTAACAAATTGAAAAATTAAATATCGGGAAATTGAAACATTAAAAATTGACTGAAATTGCAGATCAAAAAATTGGAACATTCTAGGGTTGGAAAATCGGAAAACTGAAAAATTTTAAAATGAAAACTCGAATAGATGCTTATCATAAAACTGAAGAAATAAAAAAAATTGAAAAATTAAAAAATTGCAAATCGTAAAATTGAAAAAAGTGAAACGGAAGAAACAAAACATATAAAATCGGAACATCGAAAAATCAAAAAATTGCAAAAATAAACAAAAAAAACAAGCCCAAACCAAAAATTGTAAATTGATAATCTGAAGAAATGAAAAATTAAAGATCAGGAAAATTGAAAAATTATAAATTGAAATCTCCAATAACAAATTGAAAACTCGAGAACCTCAAACCGAAAAACTGAAGAAACAAAAAAAAATGAAAAGTGTGAGGGTGTTATTTAAAAAAATCGCAAAAATTTGTATAATCTTTCAAAGAATCGAGATTTATTGGGTTGCACTTCAGGGCCGACGGAATTTCTATCAACCAATTTTTTGAAAAATGAAAAAAAAACGAAGTTTTGACATCTATCTTTGTAAAAAGGAATGAAATATTGCATAACAAAGAATACAGAAAAACGGAAATGAATTTAAAGAAGGATTTATGTACATAATGCAGTGGAAAAAATATAAGTAAGAAAAGTTCTAGTAAAATACAGTCACGAAAAGTATATACAAAAATAACCTTACTGGGCATCGAGTACTGTTAAAAATACAAGTATAATCAAAACGAAAACAAAGTAGATATCACAAACAACAAACATAAATATTTACAAAACAAAAGGACTCGGAGTAAGAAAAACAGATGAAGACAACCAGACACGAACAACAACAGACAAAAAAGAAAATCACGATAGAGAAAAACAGTAAAGATAAAAGACAAGATGCAGAGAGATAAAGCAAAGACAAGATAAACGCACAGTCCAGCGAATTTCCAGCATTCCCATGTTCCACTCGCTCCGCCCCCTCGCCGCGGTATAACCACGCCTCTCCCCCCGCCCCACATCTACGTAACTACGCTACAGTGGTGACTCGTGACTACACTGAACGGTGATGAGTGAAGTGTGCTTGGTGGCCTCGATCCGCACCGTGCTGATCGAGCCCAGCCACCGGTGTTAGTGTAATGGTGGGTGGGTGGGTGGTTGGGGTCGTAGTACGTAAAACGATGGTTACATTAACAAATACTCACTATCATGCTCCGTGCAAGCTGAATAGAGACAGAGCGCAATCAACACATTGCACATGATCCAAGCGGTCGGACGGCACAAATGAGAATGAAGACATGATTAACAAAGTGATATTAATGAGTGAGCGTGTAGTGTCGTGCACGAGGCGCCGTGGGGAGGCTCCTGCTGGACGGGGGTCCTGGAGAGCCGCACCACGGCCGCACGAACTCCTCTCGTTGGAACATAACACACCACACGACATACACGGGAGCACTTACATAGGTGGATGGCACCGAAAGGCTCGAGCCCTCACGGGACACAGAGCTGTACCCTATAGCGCCCTGTGCGAACAAGCGCTTCAGCATTTTTGGCAGTGGCAGAACGACGAAAGTACTCTTTACGGAGGAGTCGGGCCGGGAACGTTTTGCGTTATTCGAGCGATAGTTGGCCACTTTTAGCGGGTGGTTTTATTGTTAAAGCTCGGATTTTACGCAAAAGTACGGATTTTTGTATAGTGATAAAATTTTACAACCCAGCTGTTAAAGAAGTTGAGCTTGTATAGACCCCCGGTTGTCAAACGATGAACACTGGCGTATTTGGTCTACTCTTATTTGAATTTAATTTGCCAGGTTAGCGAGGATCTTTACCAGGAGGTATGTATAAAACATAGTGTGTTCGCGTTCTAGTTGCATATAAATCCGAGCTTTAAAAATTTATATTTTTATTACATAGACATTATAATCGATCTTTTAAAAATACGCATAGGAACTGGTTGCCTTAACTCAAAAATTTAAATGAAATTATAATGTGCCTGAAAATGAATTATTACTAAAAGCTGATCATATTGGGTTTGATATGTTACATTTGCTTCTTTCCATGTTTCGTGGCCTCTAGGGTACGAAAAATTAGGTCTCCCGTTACCCCCTGTTTGGATTTTTCTTAGACAGATAATCTCCGAAACTACTGGACCGATTGTTGTCAAATTTTATATTATCTCGATTTTAGGATGATCTTATCATATAGATAGTAAAACGCTAACCAAATTTGGCTAATCGTCTCAAGGAACAATAAGATGACGTCATCTATAAAATTAACATTAGTAAATGTTGTTTAAACTTGTGGTTTATAAATCCGTGCTGAGTTTTTGCAGTAGATATCGAGATTTTTGGAAAAAATCAAAATTGTACAATTTCCCGTTTCCCCAATTTTTCCAATTTTCAATTTTTCTGCTTTTCGATGTTTCGATTTCTCGATTTTTCAAGTTTTGATTTCTCAATTTTTCCATATTTCAGTTTTACGTTTTCTCAATTTTTACAGTTTTCAATTCTTCGATTATTAATTTTTTTATTATTTAAGTTTTCGCGTTTTTGGCTTTTCTACATTTTCGTTTGTTCGATTAATTGATTTTTCGTTTCTTTTGAATTTTCGATTTTTCCATTTCTCGATTTTTCGAATTCTCGACTTTCCGACTTTTACGTTTTCCGATTTTTCGATATTCTGATTTTTCTATTTCCAGATTTCCCGATTTTCCGATTTCCAGGTTTTCAGTTCTTCAATTTATCGGTTGTCAGGTTTTTGATTTTCCGATTTTTCGATATTTTGATTTTGATTTTCCCACTTCTTGGTTTCTCGATGTCTAGATTTTTCGGTTTTCACATTTTCAATTGTTTAATTTTTCGTATTTTTAGGTTTTTGATTTTTTAATTTTTCGATATTTTTATTTGTCGATTTCTCAATTTTTAGCAATTTTTCAATCTCTCGTTTTTTGAATTTTTCGGCTTTTGGATTTTTCGATTAATAGATATATCTTTTATTTGTTTTACGACTTCTCGATTTTGCGACTTTTACATTTTGCGATTTTTCGATATTTTGATTTTCCTATTTCTCAATGTTTCGATAAATCGGTTTTCACATTTTCAATTCTTAAATTCTTGGATTGTTCAGGTTTCTGATTTTTCAATTTTTTGACTTTCCGATTTCTTAATTTCTTGTTTTTTTAATTTTTCAGTTTCACGATCTCTCGTTTTTTCAACTTTTTTCTTTCTAGATATTTCGATGTTAAGATTCCTCGATGTTTCAGTTTTTTAATTGTTCCATGTTTTGTTTCTAGATTTTTCAAGTTTTAATTTCTCAATTTTTCCACATTTCAGTTTTGGGATTCTCCAATTTGTCGATATTTTTTTTATTTTTCGATTCTTTTATTTTCCGATACACATTCGAATTTTCGATTTCTTGATTTTTCGACTTGTCGACTTTTCGACGTTTAGATGTTCTGATTTTTAAATATTTTGATTTTCCTATTTCTCAGTTTCTCGTTTTTTCTATTTTCAGATTTTCAATTTTTCGATTTTTCAAATTTTTGATTTTTCAATTTTTTGATTATTCGACTTTTCCATGTCTTGATTTACAACTTTTCGATGGTTTTTCGATGTTTCAGTTTTGGAGTTTTTCAATTTTTAGATTCTTTAATTTTTTGAATTCTTAAATTTTAGATTTTTCGATTTCTCGATTTACCGATTTTTTAATTTTTCAGTTTTTCGAATTTTCAATTTTTCGGCTTGCCGATATTTGGATTTCTCGATTTCTCAAATTTTAATTTCTCAATTTTCCAACATTTCAGTTTTGGGATTCTTCAATTACTTGTTTTATTAAATTTTCGATTTCTCGATTTTTTAATTTTTTGATTCCTGTTTTCCGATACATGTTTCAGTTTTATGTTTGCTCAATTTTTCCATTTTTCAGTTTTTCGATTTTTAAATTTCTCGGATATTCAATTTTTGGATTTTTCAATATTTCAATTTTGGGCGTTTCTAAGTTTTTTATTTTTTGATTAATAGATTTTTCGTTTTTGGATTTTCCGACTTTACCATTTCTCGATTTTTTGACTCTCGACTTTCCGACTTTTACGTTCAAATTTTCAATTCTTCAATTTTTCGTTTTTTCAGATTTTTCGAATTTCAGATTTTCAATTCTTCAATTTTTAGATTTCTTCGCTTTTTGATTTTTCAACTTTTTGTTTGTACGACTTTTCAATTTTGGAATTCTTCAATTTTTTAATTTCTCAAATTTTATATTTTTTGATTTCTCGATTCGGCTTTGCAAGTTTTCAATTTTTTCGATTTTTTTAAATTTCGATTTTTCGATTTTTTAAATTTTCCCATTTTTCGAATTTTCGATTTTAGTCTTTTCGGATTTTTTGATTTATTCAAATCTTGATTTTCGAATCTTTGATTGTTCGGTGTTTCGAATTTTAGGTTTTCCGATTTCCCGTATTTTCGTTTTTGTTGAATATTTGATTGATCGTATTTTCAATTTTTTGAAATTCGAATTTTCAATTTCCTTTTCGATTGCTCGTTTTTTCAGTTTTTGAATTCATTGATTTTTCTCAAATTTTCGATTTTTGATAGTTTCGATTCTTTCACTTTTGATTTTACGAATTACCAATTTTTCAATTTTTCGAATTTACGATTTTTTAATATTGTAATTTTTCGAATTTTCAGTGTTTATTAATATTTTTCGAATTCTCAATTTTACAAGTTTTCGATTTCTCAGATTTTCAACAATTCAATTTTTCCATTATTTAATTTTAGATTTTTCGGATTCGTCGATTTCTCGACGTCTCGACCTCTCGGTTTCTCGATCTCCCAATCTTTTGATATCTGAATTTCTGAATGTTGCGATTTTTCAATTTATTTCCCGATTTCTCGGTTTTTCGATTTTTCCTTTTTTAGAATTTTCGATTTTTCGAGGTTCGAGTTTTTTTTTAATCTCGATTTCTCGATTTTTCAATGTTACCATTTTTCGATTTCATAATCTTCGGTTTCAGAATGTTCGATCTTTTCCTAGATTTTTCGATTTATCGAAATCGGTTTTTCGAATTTCAGGTTTTCCGATTTTCCGGATTTTCGTTTTTGTTGAATACTTGATTCATCGAATTTTCAATTTTTCGAAATTCGAATTTTCAATTTCTTTCCTTTTCTATTTCTCGTTTTTTCAGGTATTGAATTCTACGATTTTTCTCAAATTTACGATTTTTCGAATTTTCAATTTATCGAATTTATGATTTTGTAATATTTTGATTTTTCGATTTTCCAAATTTCTCATTACTCGACTTTTCGTTTTTTCAATGCTTATTACAATTTTCAGAATACTCGATTTTACAAGTTTTCTATTACTCATATTTTCAACAATTCAATTTTGGGAAATTTTCCAATCCTGGATTTTTCAATTTTTCGATTATTTAATTTTAGATTTTTTCGATTTCTCGATTTCTCTATGCCTCAATTTTTCAATTTTTCTATGTTTAGATTTCTCGGTTTTTCGATATTTCGACTTTGCGAATTTTCAATTTTTTGAAATTTCGAATTTTCGATTTTTCGAGATTCGAATTTTTTAAATTTCGATTTCTCGATTTTTCAGTTTTCCGATTTTTCGATTTTATAATTTTCAATTTTTTCTTGGATTTTTCGATTTATCGAAATCTTGTTTTTTGAATCTTTGATTTTTCGGTTTTTCGAATTTTAGGTTTTCCGATTTCCCGGATTTTTGTTTTTGTTGAATATTTGATCGTCGAATTTTCAATTTCTTTCCTTTTCGATTTCTCGTTTTCTCAGGTATTGAATTCTACAATTTTTCTCAAATTTACGACTTTTCCAATTTTCAGTTTTTCTAAACTTCGATTTTTGATATTTTGAGATTTTGATTTACGATCTCGAATTTTCCATCTTTCTAGTTTTCGATTCTTTCACTTTTGATTTTAAGAATTTTCGATTTTTCAATTCAGGGAATTTACGGTTTTGTAATATTGTAATTTTTCTCATTACTCGACTTCTCGTTTTTTCAATGCTTATTAAAATTTTTAGAATACTCGATTTTACAAGTTTTCTTTCTCAGATTTTCAACTACTCAATTTTAGGAATTTTTCCAATCTTGGATTTTTCAATTTTTCGATTATTTAATTTTAGATTTTTTTGATTTCTCGATCTCTCGATCTTTTGTTGTCTCGATTTCTCGATGCTTCAATTTTTCAATTTTTTGATGTTTAGATTTCTCGGTTTTTCGATATTTCGACTTGGCGAATTTTCAATTTTTTGAAATTTCGAATTTTCGATTTTTTGAGATTGGGATTTTTTTAATTTCGATTTCTTGATTTTATAATTTTTGGTTTCAGAATTTTTGATTTTTTCTTGGATTTTTCAATTTATCGAAATCTTGACTTTCGAATCTTTGATTTTTCGGTTTTTCGAATTTTAGGTTTTCCGACTTCCCGGATTTTTGTTTTTGTTGAATATTTGATTCGTCGAATTTTCAATTTCTTTCCTTTTCGATTTCTCGTTTTTTC